ATCCTGGATCAGTTCGAGCCGGCCCGTGCCGCGGCCACAACTTTCGCCCAGATGTGCGAGGACAACCAGATCAAGCGAGCCCCCTGGGCCGGCATCCCGTCGCGCGCAGACGAGGGGGCCGAGTCCACGGGCAAGAAGTCGACGGAGCTCGGCGAGCTAGTCCCCGCTCTCCTTGGTCATCCGCGCGTCGCGATGGCCCCGGTGCCGCTGCCGAAAGCCGCAGCCCTGCGCGGCGGCGGCGCTGCGAGCGCCCCCGGCGATGCGACCGAGGCCCGCAGAGGATTGGGGCAGAGAAGTGCAAGGACTCCAGGCAGAGGCTGGCGGACAACGAACGGCAGGAGCCATCGGAGAGCGCGCCCACCGCCGTGGCGCCAGGAGGAGCTGGCAAGGGCCAGCGCGCCCCCATGCCAAGGGGCCTGATGGGCAAGGACCGGCAGACGCTGGATGGGAATCCGCATTGCTTCGACGCCAGTCTCCCGCATGGGCGTCTTCGTGCGCAGGTCGGCCAGCGGCGCGCGAAGGGGGGGGCGCTTGTGCTGCGAGCCAGGTAGCCCGAAAGGCGCGCTGGGCTGTTCTGGCCCCCGCTGCCTGCCCAGGCGCCAGTAAAGGGGCCCGGCCGAGGCTGCGCCGCTGCTGGCCTCGGCAGTGCGCGAAGCGGCCCATGAGCAGCGGATTTCACATCCAGAAGGGCGGGTCTCTGGAGCATCTGCGCGCCTGCGCGTTGCTCCCGGGCGTCCGCGGACGCCCCCGCTGGCCGTGCACTGGCGTCGGCAGTCCGGGCGCGCCAGCCAATCGCGCCCGCGCGCGGGGCGTCGGGGCCCGACGAGGCAGCGGAAGGGCGCGGCGAAGCGTGGCGCGATCGCCTGGCCGCCGCAACGGGCACGCAGCGGCGCGGGCAGCGGCGGGCCCCGCTGGTGCCAGAATGTCCCAGGTTCGCTGACGTCGGGCTTGCGCCGGGGGCGGCCCTCGCCCTGGAGGTGGGCGACGGCCTGCGCGAGCCTGCGCAACCTTGCAGTGGCGACGCGCCCGCGGGGGCCAAGGTCCTATTCCTCGTCCAAGAGATGGGGGTGGCCGCGGGGTCGAGGCAAGCTGGGTTCCTGCGAAGTTGGGGCTGCCGTGGGGCCGCGGCAAGTTCGCCCGCTCGGCAGCCGAGGCAGTGGCCCCCTTTGACCAGCTGCCAGAACTGCGCTCGCATGTGCTCGAGGCAGTTTTCTTCGTCCTTGCCTGCGGCCTGGCGGAGGTTGCGAGCTTCCGCCGGCTGGCGTTCAGGCACTGGGCGCGCCGGGCGCGAGCCATGGAACAGGGCGAGGAGAGGCTGCGCGAGTCCAATGGGCCTGGCGCGCGGCGCGTGCTGCGCGGCAAGCGGTTCTTCCTGCTCGATGAGATGGCGCGGGCTGCGGGCTATCCGGTCGGCGGGTTGGCGGCCGAGGCGGCAGCCGGCCTCGCGGCCATCGGAGTGCCCCCGAGGACGGGGGCGTTCTTTCCGCCCCCGCCCCCAGCGAAGGAGTCTGTCGCCGCCGCCCCAGCGCGTGCTCTGGAGGCGCAGCGCGCGGACTCGGGGCCCGCGGGGCCATCGTCCGACCCAGCGCTGGGCGCGGAATTCGATCGAGCGGCGCTGGAACAGGAGGCTGCCGGCCATTTGTCTGCGCTATTCCTCGCCATTCCTGTGGGTGGCGGAAGACGCGGCCGCGCTCGGCCCGGGCCGGCCCCCCGCCCGCCGCTTCGGCGTTTGGCCGGGGGGGAAGGCGCGGGAGATCGATGGCGCCGCAGAGATCGACGCCGGAAGTTGCTGGTTCAGTGGGCCGAAAAGCGTGATGTCCTCGGTCTTGGCTAAGTCGCTGGATGGGCCCGATGCTCGGCGGAGGCGTTGGAATGACTGTGACTTGCGGCGCGTCGGATTGCCTGCCGGGCTCTGCTGCTCTGGAAGGCAAGCTGTCTGGCGAGTGGAGTCGCGCAGAAGCGGTGCGCCTTGCCGGCCAGGCGCTCGGTACCAGCTAAGTCTGCAAGAAGCTGGCCAAGCGGCCTGAGCTTCGCAGGTACTCGGTCGTGACGTCGCGGTCTGCGCCCAGGCGCCGCGTCGAGATCGGCTTGCCCACTTCCGCCCCGTTCGGGGAGACTGGCGGCGTGTTCCAGGCCAGCCGCTGCTTCTGACTTCTAGAGTGGATCTTATGCAGGCCTTCCGCGTCGCGAATCGCTGTTGCGACTTGTTTCGATGATTATCCGCGCCTCGAACCCAAGGTTCTGGCTGCTGGTGGCCATGCCGCGGCCTTGGAGGCCCCGGGGCTCCTTGGGCGGCCCCCGAAGGAGCAGCGGCCGGAGGACAGGGTGCCGAGGCCATCGCTCTCCGCTCTCATGGCGCACTTGGGCCCATCGTCGATCGTCGAACGCGGCATCTAGTTGGCAACGAACTGGGCAGGATCGAGTCCACCAACAAAGACCTGGCGACGTTCGGGGCCAGGGGTCGCGCCCGCCGCGGCGAGCCCCCCCCCCCGCTCCCCTCGTCGGCAAGTGCCAGTATGCAAGGTCGAACGCATTCGGCCCGCACGGCGCCGCGGCCTTGCAGGCTTTCGGCGAGTTCAGGCAGACGTGCGCGGCGGGCGGCCGAATCGCCCCAAGGGTGAAGTGGGCGCTGCGGCGGCGGCGGTGGCTCTTGAGCTTCGCCCGGCCAAGGGGGGTGCGCTGCCGCCGGCGCCTCCAGGCGCTGCGCCCGTTCACGGATGGGGCCTGCGCCCTTCCCCTTGGCCGCCTGCCACTGGCGTCGATCGGCGCCGCGCTTTGTCGCGCCGGCGCCGCTCCTGTCGCGTGGGGAGCGGAAGTCCCATAGGAGTTCGTAGCCAGGTGGCAGGACCGCGGTCTACGCCCTTCTGGAGCAAGTGATCGACCGGGCGGAGCTTGCCCCCGCGGTCGTGGTCCGCCTCCTTTGGCCGGACGTGCTCTGCCAGGCAGCGCTGCTCCACTGGGTGGACAACGAGGCGGCTCGCTTCGGCCCATCCGCAAAGCTCGACCGTCATGGTCGCAGGAGTTGGACATGGCGCGCGGCGCGGCGTCGCGGGTTGAGAGGGCCCCGTCCCTCGGAGGCCCCGCCGACCAGGCGTCTGATGGATGCCGGGGCGCGGTGGCGGTGGAGGCCGCGCCGTGCCTGGCTCTGTTCTGGCAGGGCCTGCTCGAATCAGAACGAAAGCCATCAGCGTTCGACGGTCGTGCAATGCGACTCGGCGCTGACATTTCCCGATATGCCAATGAGAGGCGGCCCGAGAAGATGAGGGTAGACGGGGGCCCGCTTCCGTGGCGTCGCTGCGCGCGCCATTTGGGATGCAATGTGCAATGTGTTCCCCGCTGTGGAAAACGATTCTCCTTGACGATTCGCGTGTTTCCGCCCGCGTCAGGGGAGGGCGGGGGCGGGGTGGTTCAGGAACCAAAAGTATGTCCTCTATGTGATGGCGTGGGGATGTCAGCCGGCGACGGCCTGCGCGGCTGGCGGAAGGCGGCTCTACTGCCAGTGAACTCTCTTCCGCCGCTCCCAGCCCCGAGAAGCCGCCCAGAGGCGGGGGGGCCAGCCTGCGCGACAGGTCGCGTGGCATGCACCGCATGCGGCCCCGCAGGGGGGCCACCTGCGACAATTATTGCGTGGGCAACTTGGCCCTAGAGGGAAAATGTCGTCGTGTATCAAGTGTTATTTTGGCCCGCTGATCCAGGCAATTTGCTCGTTGCGCATGGCGGAAAATCGGGCAGTTATTGGACCACTCCGAGCGGCGGTTTGTCGGTGGACGCGCGGCGGAAGTGGGCAGAGGCACGCGCAAATACCACGCAGTCGGTGCCGCGGACAGCGGGCGGAAGTTTTGCTGTGGTTGGCGCGTAAGCTGTTGCGGACTCCGCTCGTCGACGCGCGTGCGCGCGTTCCGCACGCAAGTGTGCAAATTCAGGGTCTGATGCGGCGCGGTGCGCGCAGTTTTTGGCACGCCAACCCGCCCTCAGACATTGAGGAACACACGGGGTAGACGGAGGCCCAACTCTCGTCGTTGAGTGCGCCATTTTGGATGCACTTTGCAATGTATTCCCCGCGGGGGAAAACAACGATTCTCCTTGACGCTTCGCGTGTCTCCGCCCGCGTCAGGGAGGGTGGGGGCGGAGGTAGTTCAGGAACCAGGAATATGTACTGCAGGTGATGGAATGTGGATGTCTGCCGGCGAGGGCCCAGGCGGCCAGCGGACATTTTTGAATATCTTATCTAGTCAAGCCGCGCCACGTGGATGAGCGACTATCCCAAAATACCCTCTCACCCTTACCTCTCAGCCTATCCTGGCCCTCAGTTGGGCTTCCGTCGTGGGCCGCGTTCTCTCAACGTTTGGCTTCCACTTGGGCGTCAAAGGGGCCCTGCATCCTCACCGCGCGTTCTCTCAATCTCGTCGCAGTTCACAAAAAAAACTTGAACAGACCTGTGGGCTCCCCGCTCCGTGCCTCGCGGCACGGCGGCGGAGTTGGGGAGCCCCGGGACGGGCCTTCTTCCCGTGGGCGAGGTCTGCCCGCGGCTGAAGCTGTGGCGTAGCAGGCGTCTGTACACACGTGGCGCTGCCAGCCTGGGCGGGCGCTCAACTGCCTGGAGCCATCCTGGCCCATGACAGCACATGTTGGGTATGCAGTTGGCCAGATGTCTTTCCAGCGCTTGGCCTTTTTTACATATGGCCGTGCAGGCCGGGCTTCCGCATGCGTATCCAGCGCGCGGCCGCCACGTGTTCCACATGCGGATCTAGACACTTGTGTGCTCCAGCTTTCTGCTATGTCTTGAGCCGACGACTGCTTGGCCCCTCTAGCACCCCCCCATTCTCCTACTGCGTCCACGTCTGTGGTGGGGGGGGATGGGCACGCATCGCGATTGGCCCTCCGTCGTCTGTAGTGAGCAGTGGGTGTGCTCTGCTGAGCATGCTCTTTTAGTGGTTGGCAGGATCTGTGGGGGCTTGCCATCACCAGCTCTGCTTATCTTGTTTACGATACGCTGGGAGGACTGCGAAGGAAGCGATCCAGAACACGATGCGCCAGAACCAGGTCGTGGTTTGTGTTAGCAAGGCTCGCATCATTATGCGCTAAACAGACCATGCTCCTCCGGTTCCTCCCCTCCTCCATCTTCATTGTCCCCAGAACTTTTCTTATCATCCTCCCCCTCCTGCTCCTTTCAAGGCATCGTTTATTCAGCTCAGGCCTGTCGCATGTTGCGTTGCAGTGAGGGGTATCATGGATGCGTGGCCCATATAGGGTCACAGAGCTTTCCGAAGCATGGCAACTACTGACGTCTCGGCGCCAATCATCCGTCATTATTTGTTCTTGCCGCGAGCCGTTCAGCCTGCCGACAGAGCCGAGCAGTGCCAGTGGCGAGTAGTTAAGCGATCGATTTCATGGTGAGTTTGGCGGTCATGTCTTAGTACCCTGTGGGGTCTGTCGGGTAAGCTTTGAGCGACTCCCGCTTGATTGAGAAGGCCCCGTCTGGCTGGTACCGCCGACCACGGGCTCTTGGATCGCATGTGTAGTGTCGGCGTCGGCAGGCCGCGCGTTCGCGATATCCACCCCTGGAGGCGTCACGCCATCAATGGAATGACAGCTACCCCAGCGCACGTCTGCAGAGACCTCGTTCCTACAGTCACCGACTGTAAGAAACGTGTCCCGAGATTCCCGAGCACCCCGCTGTGGCGAGCGGTGCGACTTTTCAGGCATGCCTGAAGTCCTGGAGTACAGGGCGGCACCTACGGCACCGCTAATGGGTCCAACGGCCCTTACACCAGCGGTCCATCCTTCGTCGTTGATCAGTTGGCCCCCCCATGCTTTGCCGCCCATGTCTGCAACGTCATAGGGACCAGGCGTTCTCATCAGGCGAAGGCGAATTGCACCGATGGCTGAGCGTGCTGCTGTTGTTGACGTTGCGTGGAGAAAAGACGTGATCATAATGCGAAGGCTGTTCGGAAAGGTGTCCAGCTTGTTGTAGGTTTGGAAACCGCCAGAATGTGGTTTGAATTCTGGCAGTGCCCCAGGGCGCGCTCCGCCTCTTCCTAGCTGTAAACGCTCGCTGCCAGCCTCTCAGCGGAAGACGTGGCCAACACAGAAGTACGTATGTGCCGTTTCTCCCAGGTGGTTGCCCATCGATAATGTAGCGGATGCTTTGACGTCTGTTCGGGCAGGATTGTGCAAATTGCTTCCTCGTGCTGTCCAGTCTCATCAGATCATGGTGACCAGGCTTGTCTGATTTTCATGCGCAGTGCCACGCCATAATATGTCTTTAGATTTGCGCGATCCTGTGTAATCTTGCTGGTGGGGGTGCTCCATACAAGGCGCGCAAGATTTATGCGCCAAATAATGGCAGCTGTGGCGATATTGAGAATAGCCGCCACGATGCTCTTGATGTTTCATTTCGGGCCAGGGCGTCACGCTTGTAAAGCGCGTGCCAGGTTGGCATTGAAATCGCTTTCCCGAAATGGTGCGTTTCCCTTGTGTTACCCGCTTCCCTTGAGGTTGGGCCGCAAAGTTGACAAAAAGAGAGTTTCGTCTACCGATCTTCCAGTGGACGACGCCCTGCGGCAAATAACTGGGTTACAGCAGTCGCCTTCTGATGTGCCTCAGCATCACTTCATCAGTGGCCTTACAGTCGGGGGCCTGAAGAAGGAACCCTTTTGGTTGGGGAGGGGCTCCGCGTTCCTTAAATGTTTCACAGCTTGCCTCAGGCTTTCCTTATGTTTTCGTCAGGAAATCGAAGGTTAACTTATGGAAAACAGGGGCCTCGTTCCTTATTTTGGGTTCCTTAGGTCAACGCCCCGACTGTATGGCGTGTGATGGTCTCGAACCCTCGGTCACATGAAAGTTTGTTGCTGCTGGGTCGGAGGTCAGTTCTCCGGCCCGCGGCGTGCACTCATCGCTGAACGCGATTCGGCTGTAAAGGGCCCTGGGTACTTCACGAATTACCGGCGCGAGGGTATGTTACGAATTACCAGCTCGAGGTACTTTACGAGTTACCGGCGCGAGGGTACTCTGCGAATTCCCCGCAGGAGGCGTTGCATGTATAGGAGCGTGGACCCGCTCGCCGAAGCAGACCTAAGACTGACCAGCTTTCAGCTGCAGTTGGTTACACATGGTTAATTTCTAATTATTCGAAAATGCTTTGTTTGGGGGGCCGAGATCCTTTCATTTCTAATTGTTCTATCCTGGGCCTCTTCCTGGCCATTGGGGGGCCAGGAACAATTAGAAACGAGCACGATTAGACATGAGCACGACTAGAACTGAACGACGTGTATAGTCATTACGATATTTCGGGCTGCTGCTGCGCACTGCGAGCGAGCTCCGCCTCGTCCTCTTCTTCCGTCCCTCCGACCCTCCTCCCCCACCCCCTCCTCCGGCACGTCCTCCCACTCCTCGGACTACTCTCTCACCACCGCCATTTCTTCCCGGCTCCCGCTCCTTCCCATCCCTCCCCCCTTCCTCCTCCACCCACCCCTTCGCCTGAGACTTCGAAGCTTGAATTTGGAACAGTTTCACGTACGCAAGGAAGTCCGTGGTTTACCCCACTCCCTTCCTCCTCTCCCTTTCGGTCGGACGTGGACCGCTTCAGTAGCGACCTGTTTCTGCAATGAGCTGTTTCGGCGATGCTTTTTCTCTTAGCGTAGGGTGCATTTCAGGTGCACGCTCTCTGTGACACCCCGCCTTCTGATTCTGCTTCTGATCAGGGCAGCCCGCTTTCAGAATGTGGTTCTCGCTATAGCGCCGCGCGCACTCGTGGCGGAAGCAGCAGCCTGCAGGATGGAGGGCGGCTCCTTCTCGAAACGTGGCTCTCGCCTCGGCGCCGCGCGCCTTCGCTTCAAGCAGCTGCAGCAGTTTCGAAGGATTCGTGGGGTTGAAGTTCCAGGAAAGGTGCTCTGGCTTATGCTGTTCCAACCTACTTTGGCCTTGACCACCGGAAAGAATTTCGAATATAAAAAACCGAAAGTCGATGGTTTTCACGTGGCGGGCCCTGGGAGGCACTCGTCCGACACTGTTTCGACACTGTTTCGACACTCGTTCGACTCTTATCCGGGTGCTCGAAATCATGTCTGGGATGTGGTCCTTAAGTACGATTGGAGCATTTAGGAGTGCCAGGACGCAACCGTCAATTTAACCCGCGGTGTTGAAGCCCCATGAACAGTTATTTGGCACGGACTGTCAGGACGCAACAGTTACGTTGATTCGCGGCGTTGGTGCTTGGGCGCGATTGAAGATTCTCAGACGGTTTGTCTTCAAATGGGGTGCTTCTGTAATGCAGCAAATGTTGTAGGGACCTATGGGTCGGGGTCTTGGAGCTCCTCTTTTTCCAACCGCCTCATCGTCCTGCTCCTGAGTCCCGTTCCCCTCTTCTTTTCCCTCCCCACGTCTTCCTCCTCCCCTTCCTCCCTCCTCCTTCTCGCCACCAACCTCCTCCTCCGCCTCCTTCCCTCCGTCCTTCCGCGCCACCTGATCGGCCTCGCCTTCGCCCCCCCTCCTCTTCCCCGTCGTCCGCCAGCCCAGGGTGCTGTTTTCCTTTCCCCTCCCCCTTTCCTCTTGGGGGCAGGAGGTAGTGGTATGGATACGCTGGAGGAGCTCCAGATCGTACTGTTGCCCCCTGCGGCCAGAGACGAATGGACGAGTGCGACTGGCCGAGGGCGCGAGAACCTTTTGGAACTACCAGACACTCGCATCATTACATCATTGTCGTCTCGTCGTCGCCCCTGTACGCCGTGCTTGGCGAAACGGTCCAGACGGTCCTCGCGCGCTCCCGCGGTCTGGCCGGGGCGCGCGCGACCCCCGGTGCCCATATTTCGACCCGATCGATGCAATTCAACATATCGTGCTTTTTCTTGCTCGATCCGAGCCGACTTCGATGTTCCGACGTCCGATTCAATCCGATTCCACTCTTCCGCGCCGGTGTGGCCCGATTCGATGCACGTTCCGACCCGATCCGATGGCGCGGTCCGATGCCGGCTGGTTCTGCTCCCGCGCCAGGACAGGAGGAAAGAGGGGGTGGGGAGGAAGGAGGCGAGGGAGGGGGAGGAGGAGGAGGAGGAGGAGGAGGAGGAGGAGGAGGAGGAGGAGGAGGAGGGAGGAGGAGGAGGAGGAGGAGGAGGAGGAGGAGGAGGAGGAGGAGGAGGAGGAGGAGGAGAGGAGGAGGAGGAGGAGGAGGAGGAGGAGGAGGAGGAGGAGGAGGAGGAGGAGGAGGAGGAGGAGGCCGAGGGAGGTCCGACGCGGGGAGCTACCCACCGCCACCACCCGGGGGATCGACCTCCGGAGACGTCGGCAGGCAGGGCGCCTTGCCGGGCCTTGTGGGCAGACTTCTGGGCGATCGGAGGGGTCGTCGGCGAGGCGCAGGAGAGACCCAAGCCAGCACAAGAGTTATGTCGGGCGTGTCCCCCTACAGGGGGGTTTTCGACGAAAAATAAGAAATTACCCCAAAATAGTCAAAAAATACTCTACAAATAGTCCAGGGACTATTTTTTTAGTATTTTTTACCTTTTTGGAGTATTTTGGAGGTATTTTTATTTTTTCATCGAAAATCCCCCTGTAGGGGGACACGCCCGACATAGCACAAGAGCGCTCCAGGAGGAACCTCGACGGTTTGAAGACTGCCCAAGAGGCCCCCAAGACGCCCCAAGAGGCCGTTCAGAGAGCCCCGAAGAAGCACACATCGCGCCATTCCCCTTCGGAAAATCTAGTTTTGTAGCATATGGGCTTTGTGGGTCTTCGCAGCGTCCAAGACGGCTCGATGGGCCCCCGATATCGCCCCAAGACGGCCCAACAGGCTCCCGAGAGGGCTTGAAGTCGGCCCAAGAGGGCCGCAAGACTGCCCCAGAGAGCCCCGAGGCTGCCCACAAGAAGCCCAAGATGCCCCCAGACGGCCCCCAAGAGAGACCAACGAAAGCCATGGGATACCCCCAAGAAGGCCATTGGAGGCCCGCAAGAGGGCCCAAGATGGCTTCAGAAGACCTCTGGAGGGCCCCAGCTCCCCAAGACGGCCCAAAAAGCCCCCAGGACGGCCCAACAGGGCCCCAGGTTGCCCAAGAGAGCCCCAAAAACGCACA